ACAGCAATCGTCCAACAGAAGAGATCGCAAACCGGAACGACGAAATTTTGTTCAAAGGGAGGCAACTCGTTCGAATTCCGACTTTGGTTTCGAACGTGGAGAAAAGAATACAGACTGGGAAAGACCGACGCTGGACGACAAATGGAACCTCTACAGAAGATAGAGTCCAAGAGTATTATACCGCTGTATAAAAAAAACAGTGGATTGTGACAGGTGAAAAAACGACAGTCTTCACAGAATGTACAGCTAAAAGAGATTTGCTGCAAACAGCAAAGTGCAGAACAAGGGCGAATCTCAAGTACTGGAACGAACGGTTGTTGAATTACGATTGCATATGATATACCAATAAAAAAAAATTACAAAGAAATATTTTGTTTTCGATAGTCTCTTTATTTTGAGACGAAATGGCAAAGTGATAAAGATAGAGAGTGTCGTTGGTTGAATAAGCGGCCTAGACCCGGAGAAGATCCCGACAGGTTGATGCAAGATCTGATAAGGCAAGGGAGGAAACACCTACGAACGTGGGGAAGAGAGGGCTGGACTGTGAAATATATCACTTTCCGGCGGTCGAAGACGAAAGGATATCTAAAATCAGGATGCTTGTACAATAGATCGAGAACGGCTATCCCAGGTAAGTGCGGCGACGTCAGGTGCGTCGTTCACCGCGACCCCGAAGACCAGTTATTTTTACCAGCTGCCTATGATAAAAGAAATAGAAGAAGAACAAAAAAATGAGATAATTTGGACAAAGAATGCGTTTATTTTTTTATACGCATACAGAAAACCAAAGCGAAGGAAGAAATGTGCCAATTGAAGGTAAGGGCTGGACTCGTTATTATTGATGTTAAATAATGCTTTTCAGTAAACATGCAATGACGAAAGGAAATCTGAAAACAGTTCGAAGATGGTTCGACATGTATCTGCAAGAACAAAAAAAAATATAATATTTGATTAATTTCTATTGATTTAACGAATAAATGCTGCGCCACCGCAGTGATGTTTGAATTACGTTGTAAATCATTTCATGAGTCAACCGAAAAAAATCAAGTAAAATAACTGTTAAAAACCAAGAAAAAAACAAATTTGCTAAATTCAATAATAATATCTATAAAACAAAGAGAGAGAAAAAAAATTCATTTTACCTCTATAGATTTCAATTCCACCGAAATTTTTCTAGTGGAAATATGGGAATGCTGCAAGACGTATTCTAATTAACGAGGCTGGATACACTACAGCATCGGACAGGTTGATGATGGTTCTACACGTATCTGAAAGAACAAAAAAAAAGTTCGATTAAGTTATATTGATTTAACTAATAAATGCTGCGCCTACACAGTGGTGTTCTAATTACGTTGCCTGTGTTGTGCACTTATTTAAAGTATCAAAAAAATAGCTCTTAGAAACAAAACAAAAAAAAAACGCTAAATTCAATAATTATATGCAAAAATAAAATTAAGACAAAAACAAAGAGACAAAAATGTAAATACGATCCACAAACTTGAAAGAGACAAACAAGAAAACAAAAAAGAAAGATTTTAAATCGATCGCTAAAATGCCGACCTAAGAACTTTAAGCAACCAAGCAGCAGTAAGCCCACAGCTGCGTAAATAGGAGAGTGTAAATAAACTGAGCAGGTGAGATTTTAACCTTGCAGCCTGTGCGTTACTATTTTCGGTTCTGGTAGAGGTAGAAATGAATCAAACGTTAATTTAAATAGAATACCAATACATGCTATACAACATATAATAAAATAGAAAATATAAACATATAAATTAAAGGTAATTTATATCTAATGGGTGATTATTATAAATAATCATTACAGTAACATAATATACTGCAATTATTATACAGTATCATGTCCCTTATTATATCATATTGGTCAACAGCATTTATAAACTGCTAATAATGATGATTATGTACTAAATGAGAGTACTAATTTAATCTTATTTATTAACTATAATCCTAGAACATAATTCAATATAAACTTACATCAG